CGCTTCCTTCTGTTGCTCTCTCTCTTCCTCTTTCTCTCGTTCTCCTTCAACGTCCTATTCCCTTTTGTACGGGGGAGCCATACTTTGACGTGAATTAAATACCTCGGAGACGCTTATGTGGCATCACAACCTCGCGTTTGCTCGCGCGAACAAGCTCCTTTTCGTCCAGGTCTCTTTTCCCTCGTTTTCGTCGCGCACCAACGAAAAGCAGCTGAACACTCGCTTCTGCCGTCGCCGTCCTCGTGAAATAATTATAACGCTCGTTTCCCAGTCCACGGGGCAAACGGAATCTCGATGTAACCGCGGCGAAATGCAATTAACCCTCCAGTATCATAACCCGATTACTCCCTTACCTCTTTTACGCGCGATGCTCCGGAACTGGCCTTTCCTTTGAGCAGCATGCACTTATGCCTCGCGAAAACATCATCTTCTTCCGTAATTTCGAATTTTCGGAGTTAACTTTATATCGCTACTAAAGATTTTGAATTATCACAGTGCATTCTGTAACGTCAATTTTAATCTAGAATTATTTTTATTGCCGTTCCTCGTCTTTCACGTCGCAGCGTACGAAACGACAAAGAAGGTCATTTATTTAATATTAGAACAGAGAAATGTGTGTGGTAATCCTGTCATTTTTTTTAGCAACAAAAATATAAAACGTCACAGAAAGACTGGAAGATTAGTCCAGTTAGATGTTAGATCATTCCTCTTTGCCTCCAGTCAGATTATTATTCCTTAGTGAGGCCCATTAATGTAAGATTAACTTTAATCTCGGTTTTGATTTACTCTTTCCTTTTTCCAATTCTTAAAATTAAAAAAGATAAAGAGTAAATTAAATCGAGATTAATTGTTAGAATTAGAAAAAGATAAATAGTAAGTTAGACCGAGATTAAAGTTAATTTCACAATGTTGGCCCAACTTTTTAAAATTCTATTGTTTTCGGCAATGGAATACTTAAAGACTTTAATCCATCGAGGTAAAATATGATGGTAAAATATGAATCGAATCAGTTGGCTGTAAGAAGAGCAACGGTTAAGAGATTTTCAATAATCTAGAGAAAAGGAGTTTAAAATGCTAATTTTTGTAATATATCATATTCCAACATTTTTAATGAAGTTCTTCCAATAATTAGGTTTTCGCTGCTCTACTTAAATCCGTTTTCATAATATATGGTTACCTAAAAATTACCAAAAGTTTCATCAATGAAATTCGTTCATGAACTTTTATTCTTTAGATAATAATGTATTGTGAAAACGTGCCTTAGTTGCATATGTTGTAAAGAATTTATCTGCCATCGTTTCTCTCATTCGATAATAAATTCGATCGGAGTTATTTGTTGCAATATAAATCTATTCTCACTCTCATCTTTCGTACTTGTCGTAAATAGTTTATCTCCTTGTTTCGACGACATGGTTTCGACTTTGGATTGGCCTCGTGTTCGCCCTCGTATCTATAGTTTTTGCGCCACAGCGTGACGAGTCGACCTGTCGTAAAGCTCGCGTCATAAATGTATCGTGAAAAGTGGAAACGAAAATAGTTTTGACACATCGTTAACTGTTGACTGAGCGCACACACGCTGCGTAAAAGCCTCGTCGTCGTATAACCTCGACTTATAACTTATAAGAAGCGTCCTGGCCGGCCGCCAGGTCCATTCGCCGATGGCTGCTACCAGATTTATGTTTGAGTAATATCCGCTTCGCTCGCCACGCATACGCGTATAGGGATCAGACGGGATCATGCCGTTTTTGAAATAAAGAACGCACTTCCGAGAGCGATTGACATCTAATTCTCGCACGTTTAGAAATAAAAATAAAAGCATATATGAAAAGAATTATTTTCCTGATGTATTTTCAAATTTAGGTAGATACAGATCTAAAAATAATTTTGTCGGATCATCGAAATATATTTACTCATAGGAATCTCGAATATCCAATACTATAAAAAGTTCTGTTTTTGGTATCCTAGCAATCAGAATGATCTACATAATTATTTTGATAGTTTAACAAAATTATTTCAAATCTACATATATCTGGCTTTTTCAGACATTTCAGTAAAACATTTCAGACGTTTCTATAACAAATGTAAAATAATGTATATTAAATTATCTATATATCTCTTAAATGTGATTTATATACATCAATAATTTAATCTTCTAGTTGATTTTAGCATGAAAATAACAACAAATGGATAGCAGAATTAAAATATGAGGTGAATAGACGGAAATATATATTTTTTTTCTCAATCAACTTCTCTCCGATCGCGGAATAGGATACGATGATATTCTCTGCGTTTCTTCGAATTCGCGAGGAAAAATTTTGCCGAGCGTACCGAGTTTCCACGTGCGGCAAAAAGGATCGGGCCCTTAAGCCAAATCGAAGGAACCAGTTCGAGCGTGAACGAAGAAGTTCCGGGTTCTGCCTTCTGGCTCAAAGCTGCCTCCCCGCTGCTCGCGCAGCTTCCACTTGAACGATAGATAGGACGGCTTGTTACACTGATTTACTTACAGGACCAGTACTTGGTTCGTTACCTGTCCTCGAGACTCTGTAATATTATAAGGAAGTCGACATGTACGTGGATATAGGTATACGGTAAGTTTGCCGCGGGGTCGAAATTTCACACGTGAGTATGTTTGCAGCGCTTCCCGGAAACCGGTGAGAAAATGAACTTACCGGTAAATTGAAACGTCAAATTCCATCATTTTGTCCAGGGCTTGTTATCACTGGATATTTCTGGGAACGGATATGGGCTTCTAAGCAAAATTCTGTGTCGAGAGAGAGAGAGAGAGAGAGAGAGAGAGAGAGAGAGAGAGAGAGCCGGTCCGTTTTTATTCAGTTGATGACTGAATAAAGACGCACTATTTTTCCACGTCGTTATATTTAATTTCCTATTTAATTCTAAATCATATATATGACGATTGTGTACAAGGACCCAGAAATGTTTTAAATATTTCCCATATGAAGATGTGGGTTATGAAAGATATAACTGAAATAGTTTTTCAAATCCATTTACGTTAAATACGTTAATAGTCTCTCTTATTTAGATCCAAAATAGTAAAGAAAATTATTTAATACAATTTTATCTAAATTACGTGTCACTAATATTATAAAAAAGTGTTACATATTCTAAATATAATTTTATTCATTTTCGTTTTTTTGTAGATTTTCTCGTAATGCATATTACCATAATACATATACCGTAATAATACATATTAATACGTATTACGGTAATAATTGATACTTTTTTTTTATGATTAATAAATGTGTCTTTTGTTTAAATCTGCTGTTAAAATAACTTATATCCCAGTAATAAAAAATAATGATTTGAGAAAGAGAGAGAGAGAGAGAGAGAGGAAGATAATAAAATAATATTTATATATTCTTTCATCATTATTTCGCATTCATTCTCCGTAAATCAACCAGTAGCATAGCTTCGACGGTTCTCGAGGTTTGCTCAAGCGGTCCATTATCTCCTTGCAAAGTAAAAGCGGGCGTGTTGCATTTCTAGAGGCAGCGTTGCCTATACCTTGCTGCAGCAATACGCCGGAAAGGGCCGGCGGCAGCGACGGAGGTGGTGTAAAATGTGAGCCCATAACTATCCGGCTCGGTATATCCTTCGGTAACGTTATCTATCCCCGCGGTTAAGCCAGACGCAGACGTAACGGCGTTCCTTCGCCGGCGGTCGACCTAATCCGCAAATCCCGGGACACGTCCCGATCCATTGCCTCGGATATCCCTCACGCCGGTGGAAGTTGCCGCCGGCAGCTTGCGGTAAAAGCTCGGCTTTTGCCGAACCTATCTCTTAGTTATTGATACAACCCTGACTCTTCCTCGGACGCAAGGGAGGAAGGACTCGAACAGTTTCGTGGCTGATGTGAACTTCACAACGATAACGATGTGTCTTGCATCGTTGAGTTAGGAGGTCCACACCTCTCGGTAGTACTTTACACGCTTGCTTTGTGTCTCCTTTCTCGGTGTGGAACAGGAATACGTGCTTGTTTCATCTCAAGCGTGGAAAATGCAACTACAAAGAAGTTCACCCGAAGTAACAGGCTGGCGAAAATAACGTAGAGATGAAAGAAACACTCTTTTTCTGAGGAAGTAAGTAATTACCGAGATGTAAAGCGCACACATGTGCCGTCTTCTTTCTTATATATGTAAAAATACATATAGATATGATTTAAACTCAAGTCAATTAAATAAAAATTAGATAAAAAAATTGTACTTATAAATCGTTTGATTAACTAGGTTGTCTTTGTGGCATGTAATTTGCGCATAGCAAATTAATTTCAAATTAACAGAACTCAAACTAAGAAAATTCAAGATAATATATATTTGCTTTCATGCAGTTCCCAAGATCCACGATGTACTCTGTATGTACTTATTTGCCGTAGTCGCAGTCGCGAGTCCCCGGAAGCGGATCACGAGGGTAAACACACGTGCGCAAAATTAAAGAACTTTTAATTAACCTCGCGCTCGAGACACCGTGTGTAATCTCTCCTTTCGTTTTTGCTCGCGTAACGGGCGGGTTCGCGAGACTTCGATTAATGCGCGTATAAGAACACGCGTAACACTTTCGTCCTCTGAGGGGAAATACTCGCGGAACCTTATCGCGGCCCCGAGAATTACGCGGAAGTTCCTAAGCGCGATATTCGCTTAGGAACTAAATAACTTGTGATCTCGAAGGCGGTAGTGCCGTGAGCACCGTCGGGATACGAGGTATACGTTACTTACTACACACCGGAATGAGTTTCGCTAAGCGAGCGAACGAACTTTGCGAATCGATTTTATCAGGTGCCATTCGTCGATGAGATTAATCGATGGAAATGCCGTAAAGAGAGCAGCGTCGCGGTTATTAGCCCGGCAAGTCGGCTTAATGGCATACCTAACCCGAGTACTCGACTCCCTCGCAACTATAAGGCACGTTCCGCCCTTCCGCGCTCTCTCATCCTACTCTCTGTTGCTCAACCTCTCCCCTCCTCGCCCCTCGTTGTCCTCGCGGAATTGGTGAATTTGCAATTCTGATAAAGCAAGTGCACTCGTAGAACACAAGCGAAAGCGCCGATGTTAAGCATACATCTATACATCGGTCAATATTGTCGCACGATATTGTTACCCACAACTTTCCTTTAATGTCCAAATTGCTGTCCAAATTTTCCGCACACGGTAAAGTTAAGTCTCTTTTTATGTATTCGACGCTTAGCCAGATTATTATGAAACTTTCGCAATAAGCTATTTACAATGTGCAGTTATGTACAGTGTGATTAAGATGTTAATATCATTACCAAATCGACGATTAATATAGTTTTGATTATTTCAGTTTCGATTTATGCGTTGCAAATCCAACAGTAAGCGGCACGCAGTTTACTAACTGAGAGATATATTTAGAAATTGCATATAAAAAATATTAAGCACAATGATCTTGATAGTATTCGCCCTTTCCTTACTTATTTAAATTATTATGAAATGTTATGTGAATATACAATATTTTAATTTTAAGAGAGGAAGAACTTAATTTTTTATACCGATACATCTTTATTTTGTATAAAATTATAGACTACAAATAAATAAATGTAAGAATATATAAAATAATTATTGTTATTCTACTTTTTTTTCTTAATACAGAAATTTGATTTATGCAAAGAAAGATTATTAATTTTTTCAAATAATCTTTCTTTGCATTAAGTAGTACGTTTGTAAAAATAAACATGTTTTTTTAAGACGAACGAATATATTTAGTTCCTCGTTAGCAATGAAAGTCGAAACATTGTGCACTATAATATTTATCGTACGGACCATTAACGATACGTTCACGGTGTCTCTACGGTCGTAACTTTGTCGTTTAGAAGATACATGTTGTGAAATTATTTGGACGCTCGAAGAAGCGAGCGCAGAAGATTAAGACGCGGAACAATTGGAGAAACTCTTCAGACGCTATATTGGGCGAAACATAATGTACGGAATAACCGGGGTTCCGATTAAAAACGTCCCTCTGAGACTCAACGGGAAGAGGATGGTTTAAATTAATATTCTACTGAATTCAAACAAGCGCATAGGAATTCTTCTTGGACGCACTGAGGAATTCGCCGCGGCTGTCTCGAGGGTCTCATTAAGAGATTTCGACTGGATCAAGATAGGCTGCGGTAATTGCAGTTTTTGGCATTAATTAGTATCTACAGCAGACAGGCTTTCGCGAGAGTTACTTATTTTGTCAACGCCGTCAGCCTCCGTACCGACTTGCCTCAAACGCATTCAGTATGATGGGAAAGACAAGATCCTTTCATTTTAAATCTTCATTAATTTACATTCTTAACTTATTTATCATCAAAGAATATATTCAAATTTAATTACTTTCGTCAAAATACTCTCAGATTTTCACGATTATTAAAAACTAATTAGCGATGCTAATGTATGTATCACATAAAAATATATATATCGTCAAAAAACTTGCATATTAAATATAAACAATTTAATTTGATGATGCATTTTGCAATTTTATAGACGAGTTTAATTGAATTCTCAGCGAAATGCAGATTAAATATGAGTCATTTGGTTTGAAAATTACACGGATCGTGTGTATAAAAGATGATGGATTTTCATGTTATGCGCATATATACTCCAAGGAAATTTATTAAAAACCAAAAACATAATAATATATTATTTCAAGAATTTTGATACGATGATTATACATGCGTAACGTTTATCTCCAAAATTTCGTGTAATCTCTCGTTCCATCAGGAGAGGTGCATCTCTTTGTTAGTACGCCACTCGTTTAGTAAATGAGTACCGTGATTTTTATGCGCGGCGCATTGAGATTCGTCGGAGGACGAGGACTCTCCGTCCGACAGGGTCCTCCGAACGCGAAGGACGCAAAAAGGGAAGCGTCGCACGCGCCCTGTACTTACCCGGGCGCCGCAGTCTAATCAGTCGGCGGCGAATCGATGGGTTTAATTAAGGAAACGTCTTATAGCGCGCGCGCGCGGGCCCGATTGTGTAAAGCCCGAATGTATGTACACGACGGTACATTCGCGTGCTGAGATATGTGTGTATGCGTGTGTGTGTGCACAGGTGTGGTCGCTACCTTTACATGTGCATACAGTTTCGACGCACCCAGACGTGGTGCAAACTCGGCGCTCATTCCGGTTGCTTTACTAAGCGCCTATCGACCTCCACCAATGTTCCACAGCTCTTCGTAAGGTGGTTACCATCTTGCCACTTTGGCACATTTTCACTTGCCATAGAATGCCTTGTGTATTTCATTGTCAATATTAAATATAAATTAATTCCTAAAGACTTCTTAACGACTCCTTACAAAATAGTTGGATATAACAGGGCAATAGGAGTCAAGTTACTGTCAATTTATTATTTGCCATTATAAAAACGATTTTGCTAAAATATTTAAAAATATAGATACAGATCCGCAATTTTGTTGGATCATCAAAATAATTATATAGGAAACTCGAGCTTGATGAGCAAAAGTTTCGATATTTTAGCAACTAGCTTGAGTGTCCTACATTGTTATGAAATTTAATGTACTTTTAAGTTACACAAGTAGACTAAATTTAATGTATTTTGTAACTCAAAAATATATTTATGTACATGTGCACGAGTATACTTTCCATAAAATTTTATATGATTGTCCATGAAATTTTAATGTATATGAACATTAAATTTAAGTTACTTGTAACTTCATTTTCATAAATAATATTAAATGTTGTTAATGTACTTGCTTGAAATTTGCTTACATTACATATAACGGGGGCAAATGTACTTTTTTTAACAATGCAATTTTACACACGGATCTGAAAATATTTCTATTAATCAGACTATCAAAATAATTAATGTGAATTTTTTTACATCTATATCTAGCTACATTTTTAGATAGATTCAGTAAAATCGAAATACGTATTGTTTTTGTGTAATATTTATATTTTATTTACTATTTTGAGCAACAACTTGATCAATCTCACTTTTACCGAAAATAATCCAGCTTGTACTAATAAAAGGTATTAAAATATCGATCGTGAACGCTATTTACCGTATGGTATATTATCTAAATATCTCTCTCTCTCTCTCTCTCTCTCTCTCTCTCTCTCTCTCTACTTTATCATATCGTGACCCTAATTTTACCCTGGAGAAAGCGAACGAATAAGCTTCGCCCTACGAATTACATTAAGACAAGCATGAAGCCTTCACGGGACTTCGACTGGGACTGATTTGATGTAACAGGACAGCGGATTGAGCTGTTAGATTGGATCCTACCGATCCCATCTCGATAGGAAGCCGATGGCTATTAACACGCCGTTGATCGATCGTATATGCGAGCGAGAAGAGGCGCGTGCATGCACATGCACGCGTGCGTGAAGTCGATCCCACGACTGCCGTCTGCTTTCCCACGAACGTTCCGCGTAGCACGGCGAAGACGAAGAGAGAAACCCGCGGAGGGCTAATCCGCTTAGATCTCGTCCAACACGCAACGTGCAGCATTTCTCTCTCTTAAACACCGACACGCAATCACGCGGTGCGACACGGCACGCGTACGCGGCGAACCACCATCGGCCGCGGTGGAAATCGTGGAAAATTGTAATTTGCACGCCCGTCACACGCTGGTTTCGGTCGATGATTCATCGAGAAATATAAAAGGCGGAGAGCAAGAGAGAAAGGATATGGAGGGGGCTAATTTCGAGGCACTCTCGGGATATGAGAAAATACGTATTATCGATGATGAATGGTATGTGTACCATGTATGGCCACAGAATGTGATCTCGGTAATTGATTCGGCGCACTATTAGGGGCTCTTTAATTATATCGGCAGGATTATCTGGGACCAAGATATTTTATTCTGGTACAATATGGTTCTTACCATAGTTAGGAGTATAAATTGTGCAGGAGACTTTTAATATTGTCAAAATTAATCAACTTTTCTTGTATTTCATCTATCGTTAACAAGCTTGTATATCGTTAAAATGAATATTTCGATAATTAGCCCGGTGTGTCGAATTCCCCGAATTTTTAATTAACCTTTGCAACCCACCGACCTTTTGTACGCGCAGAATGCGACACCGTAACGGTTCAGCACGCCTGTGATACCAGCGTTCGTTTGTTAGAGTCGATCCATTGAGAATTTCGTTAATTAAAAATTATTATTTCAGCCGCGTTTCGAACGAGGGCATCGGATGGAACACTTCGGCATCGGTGCGGTCGCCATGCCGCCGCTGTGTATGATCGTCAAATATTTTTCGAGGGAGAGCGTTATTAGTGGACTTCAATATCCTGCACCAACCGTTGCCTTCGAGCTGTTCTGCGCAGTTTGATGCCGGATATGAGCAACCACCCAATGTCACGACCCTGACGACGATAGGCGCGATATGAGCCGAACTTTCAACCAATTCAACAGCTGTCGCCTACTTGGGGGGGGGGGGTTGCGAAGGGGGTTATTAATCGACTTTTCGAAAATCCATCTACCGTCGATCACTTTTTTCCACGCGTACGTATATATTTTCAGAATTCGCTTATGTCAAATTGATGCTCGAGAGATTCGTATTTCTTTCTCATAAGTGACGCTATAAGGATCAGCTGTTTCAATTTTTCTTCGAAACTAATACTAACAGAAACGTGGGGATCGTGGAAAATTTGGAGATGAAAAAACAGCGTAATGTGGAAACTAAATAAAATTTACGGTAAACAATAAGCACAGAATTTGTTGTAGAGTCAAGGCTAATATTCTCACTCTGTGCAGTACACAAGAGCTACAAACTCGAAAGCTGCCAATATGTTTCATATCATATAATGCTAAAATAATCAGATCATGGTTGTGTTGAACACGCCATATCGTACCCGCTAATTATATGGTACATGTTAATTACGTATAATTTCTCCGTATTTACCAATCTCATGATAAGCCGGCTCCATTGCGCTTTCCACCCGATCAAATTGTGTTCCTGCTTACAATACTGTCCATGCCAGAGGTTCTCAATCGTATGCTGAACATTTTATATTACGACATCACATAACGCATAAAAACATGATGCTAAACTTCTTTTTGCCAAAACTATTATTAACAATAGTATTTCCATGTAGCTTTTGAAATTATGAAAAATAAATCGTAAAGAATTTGACTTGATTAACGTTTTTTTAATCATGCGTCTCGATGACG